TATTTGAAGGGGTGCCATATTGAGGATGGAGCAAGCTTGTTTTCTGCCGCTTCGGAGATTGGGATACTGAGCAGTGGGCTCAAGCTACAGAAAAAGAGATTCCACCTCAATATTAGGAAAAACGTCTTGATGGTAAGTAAGAGCTGTCCAGCAGTGGAAGACATTCCTTTGGAGGGTAGTGGTGTCTCCTTTGGAGGCTGTTTTTAAGCAGAGTCTGGATGGACATCTGTCACAGGGAGGGCTTGTATGATAATCTTCCTGCGTGGCAGATAGAACTGCACCGGATGGCCCTCGGGGGTCTCTTCCAACTCTAGGATTCTATGAAATTACAAGGAGATCCCACCTAACCAATATGATGAATTTATTGAGAGTAGAATACGAGTTGCCCTGGAAGGTGGTTGGCTCCCTATCTTTGGCAGTCTATAAATAAAGGCTGGATAGGCATCTTTGAGAAATGTCTAAGATGTGTTTTCCAGGGGTTTGGACTAGATTGTCCTTATGGTCCCTTCTAATTCTAAGATTCTATGAATTACAAAAATATACATGTGCTCATATGCCCACTTTTAAATTGCACATGAAATACATTAATTAAGAAATGATATTTTAAACCGTATGCAATTGAATACACATGGAACGATGTTGTCTAAATACTTACACAACATCAGCCTCTAGAGAGTGTGTTTCCAAGCCAGTTTTGCAGCCTGTATTAACTGCCGGGGCTGTGATTCACTGCTGTTTGGGGGCTACAGGTCTGTGTGAGACCTTTGGCCAGGCTTCTCCAACCTCGGGCCCTCAGGTGTGTTGGACTCTGACTTCTGTCTCTTAAGGTGCCTGAGAGCCGCAGTCCAACATACTTTGTGGGCACTGGGTTGGGGCCATTCCAGTGTTCTTCAAAAGTAGTTCTGGCTATTAAAACATTATAATGTGCCCCTTGTTATGAGACATTCTGTCTCCTTGTCAGAAGTGGCTACCAAAAGACCTGTCGCTGGCAGCCATCCACAGACTCACCAAGGCGAAAAGGATGCTTGGCATCTTAGCCAGGCTTTCTAGTCTGTGCCAGTAGAGGAAATAAAAGGTTAAAGCACACCCAAGAGAGATGGGCATCTAACCTCTGTTTCAAGACTTCCAAAGAAGGAGAGTCTGCTTTCTTCCAAAGGAGTTGATTTTGCTGTCAAGACAGCTTTAATTGTCAGAAAATGCTTCCTATTGTTCTGGCAAAATCTCCTTTCTTGCAAGTAAGATATAAATCCATGGAGAAAAACTAGCATAGGCTATGGATCATCAGGACTAGCCTCTCTCTTCCCATTGTACCAGTGATTATGTGGCTCAGAATGCCAGCCTCTTGGGAACAACAACAGGAGAGTGCTATGGCATGGATGCCTGATTTGTGGGCCTCCTAGAGACATCGGATCAGAATCATAGATCCAAAACACACTACAGAAATAATCCAGTTTGAGACTGCTTTAACCGTCTTGGTTCAGTACTAGGGAATTCTGGGAACTGTAGTTTTGTGAGACATTTAGCCACCTCTTCACCCTTTTGTACCGAGAGTACCCAGCTTGTTGGGGAAAATTGGCTTACACATTGTAAACTGCTTAGAGAGTGCCTAGCACTATAAAGCACCAAAGAAATGTAAGGGCTATTGCTATTGCTGTTTTCTATCAGAGAGCTTTGGTGCCACCATAAACTACAATTCCTAGGATTCCCTAGCACTGAGCCAGGGCAGTTAAAGCAGTCTCAAACTGGATTATTTCTGCAGTGTGTTTTGGACCATAGAATCCTAGATTTGAAGATAACCCAAGGGCCATCCAGTTCAATCTGCCATGCAGGAAGACACCATCAAAGCCCTCCCTGGGACAGATGGCCATCCAGCCACCATTTAAGGACCTCCAAAGAAGGAGACTCCACCACTCTTTGAGGCAACACCATGGGCCTTTGCAGACTGCCAGAAATAGTGCACATTAAATTGAGGCATTGCCCTGGCTCAGTGCTAGGGAATCATGGGAACTGTAATTTATTGTGACACCAGAGCTCTCTGACAGAGAAGGCTCAATGTCTCAGAAAAAAATACAGTTCCCATGACTCCCTAGCAGTGAGCCAGGGCAGTGCCTCAATTTAATGTGCACTATTTCTGGCAGTCTGCAAAGGCCCCATCTTCCACTTACAGATAGCCTCTTACTGTCAGGAAGTACTTCCTAAGGTTTCGGTGGAATTTCATTTCCTGTAACATTTAGGTGGAATCTCTTTTCCTGTAGTTTGAATCCATTGCTCTGTGTCCTAGTCTCTGGAGCTGCAGAAAACAAGCTTGCTGCACCCAGTTGAACGTCATGAGAAACATGATGCTGGCTTGGATAGCCCATGGGCTGGTCTGCCACATTTCTCCTACCAGCATCTCTCAGCTAATGCACACTCTGACTCAAAAGCTCTTTTCTTCTTCTTCTTTTCTTCTTTTTTTTACAAAGTTCATTTATGCCCATCCAGTCCTGTATTCTCCTAGTCTTCGGGCCAAGCAGAGATTCGAACCCTGGTCTCCAAGGTCATAGCCCAATGCTCAAACCACTACACCATGCTGGCTGTCACACTATTCTTTTTTTAGCCAATATTCTATATTTTGTTAAGCATACTAAGTAACCTCTCTCATCCTGACCTTACCTGACAGAAACATCATTCACCCATGGTCCAGTTGCTGGGGACCTGCTTCTCCCCATGCTGCTGGGGCCCTGTAAATTAAATTTGGAGAGGGGAAACAGTAGTGTCAAAATAGTGACTGAGACTGCATCTACATTGCAGAATTAATGCCGTTTGACATAATCTTCACCGCTGTGGCTCATAGACTCATAGAGTTGGAAGGGACCCACAAAGGCCATCCAGTTCAGTCCCCTTCTGCCATGCAGGAACACACAATCCAAGCCCTCACTGGGACAGATGGCCATCCAGCCTCTGTTTAAAAACCTCCAAAGAAGGAGACTCCACCACCCTCCAAGGCAGCAGCGTCTTCCACTGTCAAACAGCTCTGACCCTAAGGAAGTTCCTCCTGATATTTAGGTAGAATCTCAGTGCTTTGGAATTCTGGAATTCATAGTTTTGTGAGATATTTTGCCTTCTCTGTCATAGAGCTCCAGTACCACAAGAAGCTACAAATCCCAAGATTCCATAGGATGGAAACCTGATAGTTAAAGCAATGTCAAACTGTATTAATACTGCAGTGTGGCAGCAGCTTAGGTAATGATTGTGAACATGGCACAGTTACAGATGAGGAAATCTAGGTAACTGCCATGCCCAGAGCATGCAAGAGATCGCCACAGCAGTGGCTGGATAGTTATTTGTGGGAGAACCTCTAATATCAAAAGAGATTTATAGGCTGACATTACATTTATTACCAAAAAAAAAAAAAAAGGGGGGGTCCCCAATATACATACATCCTTGAGGGAGAAAGAGAGAGAGATTCCTAGGTGGCCCAAGGGATCATCTGTACTGTTTTGGACCGAAAACCAGGTTATGCTCATCACTAGTGTGATATGAGGCCATAGCCTGGATACAAGTTAAAATGGGACACCCAAATCATATTGCATTAAGGTCAAGCGTGAGGCTGAGCTATTTGTGACAGGAATAGATGTCTTCCCATTGCTGGAAGGGTCCCATTGTTAGAGTCATATGAAACCCAAAGTTCATAAAATCTTAGAATTGGAAGAGATCCCCCAAGAGGCACCTGCACAACCCCAGTGTGCCATGCAGGAAGACACAAGTAAAGCGCTCCTGAGAGATGCCCTTACAACCTCTGCTTAAAGACCTCCACTGCCCTTCAAGGGATTCTGGTCCACTCAGACACCTCTTACCGTCCAGACGTTCTTCCCAAAGTTTAGATGGAATCTCTTTGCTTGCAATTTTAAGCCACTGGTTGGTGTCCTAGTCTCTGGAACTCCAAGCTTGTCTTATCTTCTAGATGGTTTCCTTTCAGATATTTAAAGATGGCTGTATCACCTTTCAGTCTGGAAGTCTTGAAAATTAGGAGTGAGTGGTGAAATATGCAGACTGGCAGATATTTAGATAGTAAGCAATCTTCTTCATTGGTTGCACTTCTAAGGTTGTGTAGTGGGGAGAAGGCAGGCAGGCAAAGCCATCTTTGTCTTTGGGAAGGCAAGGATGCCCACTGTGATCCAACTTGTTTTCCAGGTGGATCTTCAGAAACTAACGTCTGTCTTCAGGATGGGAAGGATTCTGGCTCTGAGCAGCATTTTTCTCCAGCGTTTGCCTTCTGAATTGAGTCCATCTTCTGAGGAGTTTGGCTTTGGAAATAACATGTCCAGTGGTACAGCACAATGATTCTTTAAGGCAGCCTTCTCCAAAACTGTAGCTCCAGGGACCCAGCTTAGAAACCAGACATTGCAGAATTAGGCTGCTCAGAGCCACAAACCTCCTCCTCCTGATGAAAGAGATGATGCCAGCTTTTTTCCTGCAGCTGTGTTTGATGCCTTTTCTAGCAAGGCTGATGGCTTCCATGTCAGTGGGAAGAGTAAATTCACTCCTGATTTTACTCCAGGCATTAAAGAAGATGGCTGAGTCTTTGGCAAGAAAAGAAAGTGGTGGTGAGGGGAGGAGATTCCATTTAGCCTTCAAGAGATGGAGAGTGTGACCATTGCAAAAGGAGGACAAGATACCAAGGAAATAGTCTGGGGTTCTTTGTTTAAGGAGAGAAAAGGACATGTGCCTTGTTCCACCACTTCTAGGTTTGCCATCAAATCTTGAGGGCCCAGTGCAATTAAAAATTAAGCATGTTTTTCAAGGGGATTTTTCACATCTCTAAATTATGAAAAAATTGTACCTTTACAAGCCTCTGAAGAAATAAGGGCTGTGTATGTGTGTGTGATATTTACTGAGAACATTTTCATAGCTTATTTTTCAGTCAGAAGTTTGTCATGGCAGAAAGCAGTAAATCTGCAGTCAAAGCAACAATAATAAAACAGTGATCTGATCACAGTGAGAAACAACCAAAACTAAAGGTGGCGGGGAAGGAACATGCGCAGCAGGAGAAATTAAAATAGCACCGTGGAGAACAAAACCTACTCAGGTTAAAAGCTTGCTTGCTAAATAAACAGCATTAATTGCACACTTAAATGCCTTAATTGCACACTTAAATGAACTCAACTCACAGGCTCAGTGACTCTGGCAAAGCAAAATTCTCCTCTAGATTACATAGTCTTGTTTTTAGGGTGGCACTAATGTGGTATCAGTGCCCCCTCCTTTTTTAAAAATTTCTGGGTGGGATTGAGGGACCACCCTGTGTGCGCACAGATCGTTTGCACCTCCTCCTTTTCCTCTTCCTCTTCCTCTTCCTCCTCCTCCTCCTCCTCGGATGCTGATATGCTTTTCCAGCAAGGTACGGATTGTTTAACTGGAAGTGTTCAAAAGAGCTTCCTTTGTGCTCTGCAACTCCAGCAGCCCACATGTCTTGGCACACGCTGGTACTTAGGCTGCAAGGAGGAGAGGTGCCAATATGGAGGTGGTGCCAGGCTGCACATGAACCATGCTGGTTTTAGAAAGCCTCCATGTTGACTGGAAGGCAGATGGGAGAGGGAAAACCCACAAAGCAAGACGGGAAGGAGGGATTCTGTATCTCTTTCTCAGGTTTCATTCTCGTGGCCTTAAATGAATAATGGAGCTATCTTTCCCCCTGCCGTGAGAAAACTTTTGAAAACTCTTCATTTGTCACAGACTATTTGCAATTTGGGACTTACTCTTTTTTTTAAAAAAAAAAAAGTGTAGGTTTTGTGAAGAAAATGGCATTTTATGTGCAGATTTTCCTTTCTGCACAGAAATATTCTTGCAGAAAAACTGTTGTTGTTTTGCACAGGAAATGTGTTTTCTGTACAGAAAATGTTATTTTCTACATGAAACCCTGTGTTCATTTTTTGCGCAGATTAAGTGTGTAACACCCTCACAGCTATATTTATAATGTGTTATGTATTGTGAAGCTTCCAATTGTTTATTAACTAGAAATGAGTACTTTGGGGAATTTATAGCTTTAATCCTATAATTTGTGAATCTAAGGGCTAACCTTAACTTAAGCCCTCTTTAGTTATAGGGTGGACATTTTTGCTAATGGCCAGCTTCTTGGAAACACAGAAGTATGATTCACTGAGTTTGCTGTTCCTCTTGTTAAGACAAGCAATGCATCTCTTCCCTACTCAAGAAGAAAAAATGTAATAGCACCTTATGAATCAACACATATATACTTGTTTGGTGCTATGTGAGCTGTGAAAACCCACTGGGTGAACTTGGTCAAGTCACACTCTCTCATCCTCAGAGGATGGCAATGGCAAACTCCTCTGAACAAATCTTGCCAAGAAAGCCCTGGGTTAGTTTCACCTTAGTCGTAAATGACCTGAAGGCACACAGCAACAAAAAGGTCCTGAATGACAAAGATTCTTGTTCATCCATTATTGTCCTCATTGGGGTAAGGAGGGAAAACCATTTTCAGCTATCCTTTAAATATTTTTGAATATTCCTTCCGTTCCTTATCACCAGCGTGAGATTATTCCCTCAGTGGGATCCTGCGCAGAAGTGTGTGCCCATCCTCCCCTGCCATCCCTGATAGCCCTCCATTTGCTTTTGAACAATCCACTAGGATTGGTTTTATTCTGGGTCCCATTGGTTGCCTTTGATGGTTTGGGATCTCCTCTCCTCTGGCGATTCTCCAAGGATTATATCTGCCTTTCTCTGCAGTTCATGCATCTTTGGTCTTGTAGCTTTCTTGCAGCAAGGAGGAAAGTTGTAAAGTCATTTGTTCTTCCCTACAGAGCCATCATGCTGTAGTGGTTTAACTGTTGGATTATGGTTTTGGAGACCGATGATCAAATCCCTACTCAGCCGTGGACAACCACAGGGTGACCTTGGGCAAATCACACTCTCTCAGCCTCAGATGAAGGCAGTGACAAACGTTCTTTGAAAAATTCTTGCCAAGAAAACCCTGTGGTAGGCTTGCTTTAGGGTTGCCATAAGTCACAGATGACTTGAAGGCACACAACAACAACAACAACTGGCTGGAACAAAATTTGTGGAGATTTACATCCCTAGTTGCAAATCAGGAAGGGAAGTATTAAATATATTAAAAGGGCATCTAACCTAGAAGAAAGTGCCTCTTGTGAATTAACCTATAGAAGTGGGGAAAAGGATTCAGGGGCTGTTCCTTCTGGCAGAAGTGAAAAACCTGAAACCAGGATGTTGCTGTTGTTGTGTGATCCCTTTGTGCATTGAGTATGCGGATCAGGCTTTGCAATTGTCTGGGAAGGACTTGCGAGAGCCGCACTGCCATGGTTACGCAGAAAGCTCTTGTCAGAGCCATGTGGGAATGCAGAGGAACCTGCCAGAGAATGTGAGGGAGAGGGGAGAAAAGCCACAGGATCCGGGAGAATAAGGTGGGTTTCGCTCAGAGGGTGTCCAAAATGAACAAATGTACCTGCCAACAGGGACCGGAAGATGACAGCTAAATGTAGTTGTCAATCCCAGCTGCAGTAGACCCATTCAGTGAAGGGAACTTTCATCCAAGGGTTGAAGTTTGTTGTTGTTGCTGTTGT